AGGACAAGGGTAAGGTATACTAGCCTTGCTGGCAGTCGTAGTGTGAGGGTTTGATTCCTGAAACATGAATTGAAACTCTTTGTGGGCACCAGTCTAAAAACAGCTCTTGTTCACCGACCAGTTGGAACACATTCCGCGATTAACCTTTCTCACGATACTCCAGGGACAGGGTGGTAAGACCCTTAAGATTGGTGTTCGACCTTAGAATTCAATTATGATCATTACACAATCTATTTTTGGTCGACTACATGACCCTTTTTTCACAATATACAACCAAAATTTTCAAAATTCCAATTCGATCATGAACAAAATATACACAAACATTTTCTATGAATCAATAATCGAAACATTATGAAATATGTTAACAAACCTGTGATTAGAAAATGCTCAAAACATTTAAAATTCTTTAAAAACAAAAGACCATCGACTCCAAAATTCAGCAAAAGAACGCCAAAAACAATATCAAATACCGCGAAGCCAAAGCTGAAGCCAAAGCCAAATGTTCTTGGATAAATTCCATGGTTCCTCGGAGTGACAGGAATTATAAGATTCCTCAGGACCAATATTGTTATAACCCATTTCATTTAGTCAAAAATAAAAATTTGACTTGTCAAAGTCAAAGTCTAATAAGGACTTGCATTGACCACATTATTTTATTGGGGTTTACTTTGCATTTTATAATATATAAGGGTTTAAGATGAATATAATTTAAATTTGAGGATCTTATTTATTATTGGAAGTTAAGGACTAAATAATATACAAAATAATTAAGTGGACGACTTGATTGTAATTGTTGGTATTAGTGGAGTACAAGTGTCGACGATCGTACTATCCTACATGGTGCGACTGTCGAATGAGGATCCACTACCTTATCAGGTGGTCCACCCTCACTCAATGAGGTGAGGCCATCTCGGGACTGGATCACCCGATGAGGTAGTGGCTTTTCATTCAACGGTTGCCTACCGAAGTTTTTTTTTTCCATTTGTATAACCATTAAACCACATTTTTCATTTTACACACGTACAAAAAGCGCTGAGGAATGAACATGGGAAGAAAAAAGAGAAAAAAGAAGAAAGGAAGAAAGAAGAAAGAAAAGAAAAAAAGGAAGAAAAAAGAAAGAAAGAAAGGAATAAGTTGGGAATTATGTGCTAACTTCTTCAAACTTGGGTTCAATTTCTCCATTTCTTAAAAAGGTAAAGAAGTAAATGTTTTATGATATAATTTATGTTAAATATCTAAGGTTTTAATTGGTTGGTGTAAATTTCAGATTAAGGGAATGAATATAGTTTCAAGCAAACCTTCTTGATTTGTTATTATTTGCATAAGGTAAGCAATTCTAACAAACTTAAGAATTTTTAATTGGGTTCTTGGGTATGTATGATTAGTAGAAAAAAGGTGTTAGTTGAGATTATTACTTGAAATGAGTTACAAGCTAGAATGTAAAGTTAAATTGGTGTAAGTGTGATTTCAAGTGTTTACTGGAATGGAAGATGGAATAATTATTTTGATGCTTGGGATTAAAGTAATTGAAATAAATTGAAGTTTAAGTGAATTGACTCAAAGGTAGAATTAGTTTCAATTGTAAAGGATATTGAAGAATTTATTCCAAGTACCAAGAAATCAAGTTCTAGTATTCCATATTTAAATATTAAGGGTACTTGGTATGGTAATCGTTGAATTGGCTACTTTACATTGTATTTCAGGTAATGAAGAAGCTATTGGAAAAGCCTAATATTGGTCATCCTAGCCTATAGTTTTTATTGAGTGAGTGGATATCTTCTTTTAGAAATAAGAACTTATTTAAATTATACTAGTTCTCAAGCTTATATAAAATAATTGTTTATTATATTTCTTATAGTAAATCATATAAGTTGTAAAAGTTATTTATTTCAGATGATTGATTTAGAAAGCATGATTTACAAAATAAATTTATTTTTTTAAATAAACAATTCTTCTAAAAATTAATTTCAGTTCAATTAAACCATTTCATTGGCTCATTATATCAGTATTAAATATTTCAGAATATTTAAAGTTATTTTTAAAATCACCTGAAAGTACCTATACGATTTTATCCCAGTCTGCACTTGTGTGAATATGTTTCCATAGTATATGACTACATGTGGTTATTTTATCCGTTATACACTAGTGTGAATGTGTTTCCACGGTGCATGATTAGTTATGGTGATTTTACCTATTCTACACTATCGTGAATATGTTTCCATGGTGTATGACAGATTATAGTCTTTGGGCAGCTATGCGAGTATGACTAGAATTATAAAATTTTAGAATTACAGAATATAACAGCTTTGCCATGTATATCGATATTAGTCGATACATGAGTAAAGTTATTTTTGGTATTTTTTTGGTGTGATTTTTCAGTATTATTACAGTTTATCAAATTTCTGGTTATAGAATTCAATTTGTTCAGTTCATAGATTAAATACTCCACCTTATAGTATTGAGTAAGATAGTATTTCATAGATTTTCATGGATATCAGATTATTTATATTCGTTATACGTTACAGTTGTTTATTTAGAATAAAGAACGAAGGATTTTATAATTCAATCATGTTTCAATTTTAAAAGTTATTACCAAATTTCATAATATATATATTTTTTAAAATTCTAATAAAGTAAGTAAAGCTTTAAAGTTATGGTGAACAAATAGGAAATATATAGTTAATTATGAATTATTCAATCACTGAGTTACAAGATCATATATTTTGTCACTATTTTTCTTATAAAAGAGTAGCTGAGTTGAGCAACGTTGAAGCTTGTTGATCCATCGAGTTGAGCTACTCATTATTAGCGCTGGACATGGTCCGGTTAGGTTCGGTTCAACAAATAGGAAATATATAATTAATTATGAATTATTCAATCACTGAGTTACAAGATCATATATTTTGTCACTATTTTTCTTATAAAAGAGTAGTTGAGTTGAGCAACATTGAAACCTGTTGAGCCACTCATTATTAGGGCTGGATATGGTCCGGTTAGGTTCGGTTCTCGTTAGAATCGAACCGACCCGAAATTTTCGGGTATTTAGTAAGTGGAACCGTCGGGTCCAAATTTCATTACGGAACCGTTCGGGTTCGGTTCGGTCCGGTTCCGTATTATAATTAAGTTTTTTAATATATACAAAGTTATGTTAATTTAATTAATGATATATTTAATATTAGCTCTTACAGAATAACGTAGTTCAATCTTATATGTTTCACATCTCTCTTTGCTGAATTCTTCATAAATTTGATTATTAAAATCACAGAAAGAGAAAGATAGCGAGTTCAAAATAATTAAGAGAGATGTTGTAGAGTTTTAATTCGATTTTCTCTGGTAGAAACGGCACTACAGTAGAATAACAGATTTGGATCAAATTGAGGTCAATTTGATTAAGTCAATTTTGAACTGAATATTAGAAATAAGAAAATCATATTTTGTGGTTTGAACTAAATTAACTAGTTAACAAATTTATTTAAAAAAAATAAAATAATTTTACTTATTTAAAATAAATTAATTAAAAAAATTACAGAAATTCGGTTATTCAGGTCTTGACCTAGAATCGAGAATCGATCCATACCCGTCGGTTCCTGATTCAAATACCCGTTCGGGTATTTAACATGAGAAGAACCGTCAGGTTTGATTCTGTTCGGTTCGGGTTCGGGTTCGGGTTCGGTTCGTTCGGTTCGGTTCGGGAGTTTTGTCCAACCCTACTCATTATCATTAGTTGTATGACTCACTTTGTTAGTTTATATAGTTCACGTTTCCTTTTGTATACATGCATCTTTTGTCTGAAAAGTTAAATTGGTAATTCATGTATCTATATCATGGGCTTGTTGTATATTTGGTATCTTTAGTACATTTGGAAACTTTTGTTTGTAAATAATAGTAAATATTGATTTGCCAATATTGTATTTTTAATAGTTTGTGTTTTGAGGGGCTGATATACTCTATTTTAAGTACAAGTTTGAAAAAATTGATTATTATTCAAGTGGTTTAGTTCATATTACAAAGGAGACTTTGTCAAAATTTTTATAAAATATATTGCAATTAAAGCAGGACAAAATTGTTTTGGTGATGGGTCCGGCATTTAGTTAGTATCCACTATTTGCACACTTCAAGCGTTGGGTCCATTAGGGTGATTCGAAATGGATTGTGTCAAACACATACTGTGAAAATTACAAACTTTCACACGAAGTGAGAGTTGTGTGAGAGAGGTGGAGATGAATCGAGAATGTAGTGGTGGTGAAATCTCCTCTCGTCCTTATATATCAATGGCAACTTCCTGAATCTCTCCATCTATGCCTAATTTTGGCCTTTCGTCATCCCAATTCATATGCTGCATGCATGGGAGTGTACGTGTTTTCAAATTTATAGAACATTCTAATCTATTCGGCAAAGTAATAAAATAAAATTTAAGTAGAAAAATAGAAACGAAATTTATTGGAAATGGAAATAGCATCGTTTTGAAGATTTTCTGAAATTATCTTTGTTCTCGTCCAAGAATCATCGTATGTTTAAGATAAAAAGGGAAAGAATCGAGATTAGAGTCAGTATTTTTAATAAAGCACATTTGAAATTGTATACATTGTACCAAACGAAAAACTATACTTTAATACCAAATAGCGATGCGAATTTCGCCAAACGGATGGCAACAAGGCTGAACGGACGAGGTCCAGTGGCCCTTCTCATCACCAACCCGCTGGAGAATTCGAGAGAAGAGGTGAGTCTACAATGAGGATTGAAATATGCCAATTTCTCTTCTTTTCTCCTATTTAATATACGATTTATATTTTAAAATATATACAAGAAACAAGAGTTAGCGATAAATTCAAGTTGGGGAAGGAATCATGTTCTCAGCCCCGTCCAAACTTCCCGACAGGATGGGAATGCCCGGAGCAGGCAGGGAGTTCGGGACGGAACATTTTACCTTCCCTAGCTACTTGTCCCGAATTTGCCAAAAGGGTTCACTCAAATTGTACAATATTCATTTGCCACACATATTTCTTAGTCTAAATTCTTCATATTTCCTCCTATGAACTTAAACATGTTACAATTCATTTATTGAAACATTGACAATGAAAATATGTAAAAATCTCGTACAAATCGATTCAACTTACCATTGTTTCTGAACCTATTAACTCACTCTACAACTATGATTACATAAGCAATCATATCATGGAGATACAAAGAATTACAACCTTGAGGTATTTACAAGCATGTTCTTTCAATGGACATTCCGGGTGATCAACCCTTCGAAAATGGCGTAAAGATCCTTGTTGTCGGGCCCAAAAATTTCATCAGCCTTTTGCAAAGTTACCTATTATTACGCAACGAAATAGAAGCATAGGAATTGGTTGACAACAAATTCTTTGATGGTGGGAAAGCAAGAATATTATTGAGGCACATCATATGAGTCGACTTACCTCTTTCGTTTGCTTGTGGGAGTTCAATTCCTTGACATTAGCTAGAAATGCACCAAACTGTTCATAAGAAAGCCGGTTCCTGAAAAAGAAAATAAGATTTTGGACGAGTTATCATTTGTTAGAGTTTGTGGACCAAATCTGTGAACTCGAATAAATTAAGTTATTCATTCGCAGGTAAAGCAAGTTACTTTCAAAATAAATAACTTTTATTCTACTGAACATGTTTAGGAACAAATATATAGCAGCAGCGTAACAAGTAATCAAGAGATACAAGAAACGTCTTTTGAACAACAAGAACTCTATGAGAAGTGCCTTTTTTTGGATGATCATTGATGAGCGAGCAAAGTTAATGACAGCATTTGCCTTGTTATCAGTTACGATATTGCATTTAGCAATAATCTTTCCATAGTCGCACATATTTTATGAGTAATGTCAAGTACCTGACTTGGCGGAAGAATTCTTTTCCATCAACTCGAGTTCTACCTGAAATACAGGACATGGGTAGAGGTGTACGTGTCAGTAGAAGTGCCGGTACAAAATCTCTTTCCCTCATCATCTAATTTCAGAAAAGAAAGAGAACGAGGAAAAGAGAAATGAATGTTAATAAAGATGATAAATTGCATCTTGCTTTATGAAGTAAAGGCGAACATCTAATCATTGCTAGCAAAAGAATTACTATATGTTCTCAAGCCACCAAAGCAAGATCTTAAATACAATCTGATTGATATTATCAGTGACATTTTATCCTTCCTATGTGTTTCACTTGTTTTTCAAACAGACAAGCCAACATTGAAGATTTTCAGACCTAACCTGATTGCGATCCTGTATCCAAGCCAGATAACGAACTGTGCTGGCTGGAAGGCACAGAAGAAAACCCAGACGATCTCTCATCAAAAACGCCTCTCGTCGTTGAAAATGAAATGGAGTGTCTCCTTGGAGACAAGGGTTTTGGTGTCCTAGATGGAGATACAGATGCAGATAGACTAGGAGGGGAAATGGGAGGTGTAAGCTGAGGTGTGCTAGCTTGTGATGCTAGCAACAGGCTTTGTGATACACGTGGCGGCAACATCGCTGTCAAGACGAGGAAAAAAATCATTAAACATTATTCGATTCATATATATGCACTTAAAACTTATATACATAAATAGAGCACTTCTTATGGAGGTGTCCCGAGAAAAATAACTGTTTTGAGCATACCTTCTGTCTCGGGATTGTCGGTGTACGAATTTCCAGTGTCTGAAAATTGGCTATGCATAGATGCAGTTCGGGTAGGTGGCAAGGTAGCATCGTCTACTGAAAGAATTCAAAAAACTTATTAAAAGGGATTATTTTGGCAATAATTCTGTAAATCATTTTTCAATTTTGTGAGCACTCAAAGATCATCTTGATTAATTTAGATCAACAACTTCAATTTAGCCCCTTATCTTCCTCCATACAACTTTAAAAATAATATACTTCGTGAGAGCACAAAATGTATCATCTCACTTTTAAATTACTTCATTTAGTGGTTCCCTCTTTTGCAAACTCTAGCGCTCATGTTTGGCTAAGTTTAAAAGTTACTTTTGAGTAATTTTTTTTTGAGAAGAAAATGGATACTCAATTTAAAGTGAGTAAACAGAATTCCATACTCAATCTCAGAGATAAATATAGAATTTTTATAAAAGTTAATTTTTTTGGATTTTCAATAATTTTTTTCTTCTTATTTCATTAATATTGTCCAGTGCTGCCAACCTAATCAACCCTACCAAACACACAATAAATGCACTGGTCCTACCAGGTAGTGTACCGATAGAACAATCATTTACAAGAATCAACATATTTGGCAACTCAATTCACCCAAAATTGTATAAATAATGCAAGCGACCTACAAAAAGCAACTAATACAAACCTGTATTGCTCGGGACATGAAGGCCAGATATATCAGGAGCACCCGCCTATCATACCCAAAATAAAAATTACCAAACCAAACATTTAGCAATCAAAACAGCATTTATACTTGTCCCCCTCCCCACCCCCCCGCCCCCAAAAGTACGCCAAGAAAAATAGCGAGTTTATTAACTTACAGATTTGTCGTCATCTTCTTGAAGTGATTTCATGAGTGTCTTTCTGAAGGCTTCCAACTGCAGCGATTAAAATGTTTGACATTTGGACACTTGCACTCGCATTAGCACATTTGGGGGGCAAGAGGGCGCTTAAATTAACAATATTTCTATCCAATTACTAGTTTGGGAGAAGAAACAAGCCAATCATGATGAATCTTAAATTTCACATTTTCAAGATCCTAAAATTGAAAATCGAGTTGCGCATGTTAATGCATTATTCATGGTCAAGTATTACTTGGGAGTTGTTTAATACAAAACTTAAGTTCGAAAATCAAAACAACCCGGTTCTACATGATATAAAAGTGACTAGAGCTCGATGTTCTTCCTACATGCATCATCATGCCCGATTCATTTTTTTTGTCAAAAGCTTGACACTTGAAAAATCTTTTTATAAAATGAGTAACATCAGGCAAGGTGAGCAACCACTCAGCAACATTTTGAAATTTTTTTAGCCCCCATTTAGTAGCAATTTTTCACCCCCAAAAAATTAATTTTTTCATCATTATTTCACTATTCCAACCATCATTTTTTACTTCTTCACTCACAAGTGGATCCACTTTTCTCTCTAACGGTCAAAAAATCAATTCTCATTATCACTACGAAATAGGCCCTTAATGTATAGAATTATGTATATTATGGCCCTCCAACATTTTTTTTTTTTGTTTTGAACTAAGATTCCTACACATTGTTGGTGTAAAACTACCTGGGAACAAACCATTGGCTTCTTCCACGACTTCAATATTCAGACAAAAACATGAACAAGAATTATAGTACTAAATCGAACTTTTAGACCAAAATTCAACGTACCTTAGCAACATCTCGATTCAGCTTCTTCACAGTGGTGCTCAACTGCTCATTCTCCTTCAACAAATTCTCCTATAATTCACCAAAAAGAAAAATAAAATTGGGTAAAAAACCAGGTCAATCGAGTATGGGTCGGACCTTATCTTGCTGGGCATCGGCGAGCTTGTCGGAAGTTTCCGACAGGGTGGCGTCGACGCAGTCGAGCTGGGACTGAAGGTCGGCGATGATAACGTCCCTGTCGGTTAGCTGCTGCCGGAGAACAGACCCTTCGGATTCGAGTGCGGAGACACGTGTCGACAGCGCAATGGAGGTGATTTTTCTGGCCACATCAAGCTGTTCAAATGGGTCCGACGGCAAAACTTCCAACATCTCCTCGGGGAGATCGAAATTTGATCCTGCTGATTCTTTCGACAGCATATTTTTCCTCGAATTTTTGTCCCTTTTTCTTTGGATTTCTTTCGTGTTCACTTCGTGTGTGTATAGCCAACAATCCAATTATTATCAGAGACAAAAATGAAGAATGTTGGATAAGGAATTTGTGAATTGGCACTAAATTTTTTTATGTGTACTAAAGCGAGTGAAATGAGTGGTTGCTCTTTCTTTGTTTTTTCTTGAGAATGGATGACACTGCCATTCTCCTTTGTAAAAGCTTTTTCTTATTTTGTGTAGACTTATAATAAAAAACCCTAAGTCCTAACTAACAAACACACACACAGACACACTTTTAATATATTTTGATAAAAGTTGATAAAATGTATTATTGAAAAGTTATGATTCTCATAAAATTTATAATTAAAATTAATTATTGACTTTGACTCAAATTTTATCTAAATTTTCAATTGAACCAATGAGGAGGCTAAATAAATAATGGATTTGTCAATGGTAAAATTGTTTGTAGTTGTAAGAGTTTGAATCGTGACTCACTTTAAGTATAACTTATTAACATGTTGAATCAATTATTGCCTCACACTAATAGGCATGACAACAAGTCGGGAGAGGTTGAATTTATGGGACTTTCCTTCTATATGAAAATAATTTTTTCGTTCAATCAAAATAATGGTCTTTAGAAAGGTAAAAATAAAGAGAAAACAATAGTCGACTAGTTTCTTATTACCATTAGAGTATTTGATAAAAATAGTCAATGTGTGTATTTCTTGATCGCTAGATACATTGACAATAAATCACAACTAATTTATGATAATAGAACAGATTAAAAAGACAAACTTGGAAAAATAACTTGGCACAATAATCTCGTTTTCAGAATTAATCACCGGACTTATGCACCCAAATTGACTTATACCTTCACTGAATGAGTTACATTGAAAAATATATAACACCACCACTTTGTTCTATTGAAAATGAACAGTAATTTACATTCTCACACCAGCACAAGTCTTTTTTCTTGAACCATTCATAAAATGCATTATTCGTTATAATTTAGTCCCACAAATCAGGAGAGGGCAAATTGTACACAAATACGTCGCTGGATCGGGCTCCTACAAGAAGGGCAGTCCTTCATTCCCGGCTTCTAGTGCAGCTCGTTGCACACTGTATATATCACCTGATGTGCACATGGGAGGAATACAACAGACATCTCCTTGGACAGGCACATCACACATTCTCGTTCAAGTTTTAAACCTCCATTACCGTTGATATCCTCGAGAAATTAAGATATTGGCCAATCCTTTGGGACTGAAGAATTTCTCCATTCGGCCAGTTTACCAGCATAACTCGAATCTATACCACATCTATAAGCATCAATTTTCGAAGAATCAGTCTTCAATCTTAGCGGGGAAATGTATTTTTGGAGCCTCTCAATATCATCTTTATACTTCTGCAGATTGTTTGCTGCTTTTGATTTTATCATATTTTCCTTGGATTTAGCAGAATCTTGAATTTGCTCTCTTTCGTTTCTAAATGAAGTGGCTTGTGCGAGTAATTCTTCCTTCGCCTTTTCTTCCTGTTTCCATCGAGCCAGTGACATCACAATTTTTCTATTGAATAGGACATTCAGCAGGAAAACCCACAAAAATTGGAAGATTGTTCCAATCAAAAGATGGAAACTGAAGCCAAGATCAAACACTATGGCTGAACATAGTGATATCTGCGCTATCAGAACTAGGCAATATAGCACAATACAAAGACGTTAATCCTATCCCGAGGGTTGCTGGCAATTTTTATCAAAGGCTTCCCCTTTGAGATTAAATTTAGCGCCATAATGAAATAATGATGTACAGACAGGTGTAATGCATAAATATAGAGTAAAAATACAGGCAGTTTTTATTAATAACAGAACTATAAGAGACCTTTAACTACCTCAAATTTTTATCAGCGTCTTGCCTCTTCTCTTGCTTTTGCCTTTTAGTAAAGGACGTGTGAGGTCGCGTTTCGCATAGTTGCTCTGGTAATGGTATGTATTCGTAACTTTTTAGCATAGCATCTGATGATCAGTACATTATCAAGGGAGACATTGTAAAAAATCATTCTTAAGAAATTATTCATTGATAGATGGCCTAATTTTGAAAGATTTAATTGGATGAAATTAAAAAGTTAATCCAAATGTCAGAATTTCAAATAGACAAGTGAATGATGAATATACCTCAACTTGATCTTGCACATTTTTAGCCTCCTTTAGTTCCTGTTGAAGCCGTATCAACTTACATTTTTCACCCACAAATTCCTCCCAAAGGAGACTCTTTTGCTTCTCCCGTAACTGAAACTTCATCAGCGTCAACTTCTCCCGCTTTGACACCTCCTGGAAGCTTGCAGCTGACTCTGTAGCGTGCAATTTTGCAGCTTCCATTTCCTGCCTCAATGCAGCATTTTCAAAGTGAAGCCTACGAACAGCAAAATTAGCTCGCTCTACCTGTCCACTTGCCTTAAACATGGCATTCTCCATCTCGGAAAGCTTTTTCATGGTGTTCTCCTTCAATATTTTCTTATCTTTCTTGAGACGCTCGACTTCTTCTCTCTCTTGTCTAAGCGACTCGAGCTCGACTTTATCCTGGTTCAGTCTGCTAGCAGCCTGCATGACCTTCTGATTCACGCACTCTGTCCGCTCGTGGAGCTGATTTTGTGTTTCTCGCACTCTCTGAACCAGCTTCATAATCATTGCAACTTTCTTGTACAGTGGAACCCATTGCCCAAGAGACTTATTGTTCAACACAGCAGCATAACTACAACAGACGGTTTTGACATCATAGCTGATGGGAATTGAGTTGGAAACAATATTGGCAGGCAACGATAGAGAAAGCTCAGAATCAGCAACAGGTAACGAAGGCACAGGATTGACTGGCACCACAGCCAACGAAGATAAGATACTTGATTGAGGCAATGACAAACTGCCATTAGTAGCTTCCAAACTAAATGTTGGCACAGAAATGATTTCACTTCTTGTTGAAAGATTGTAATTAGCAGCTTCCATACTAAATGTTGGCACGGAAGTGAATTCAGTGCTTGTTGAAAGATTGTAATTGTTACAGTTTTGAGGCACATTAAAGCAAACTGCCTCACTAGTCTTGATCGGGGGATTCTCAACATTCACACCTGTGGAATCTGCTACAGCCTTAAGTTTCTTGTCCAAACCAATGAAACTGTTTGGTTTTCTAGCTCTAGACGCCCCTTTGGAACCATGTGTACGATAATGTTTCTCCAAGTGCATGGATTTCTGACGTAATATGTGTTCCCTTTTGGTTATTCCAGAAACTTCTCTACTACCCAAAAACTTCTCCTCAGCAACTGTGGGGCAGGATATTCCTGCAACAGTAAGGAGTTTATTATCAGTACTAGATAAAGGGTTTTGGCACTCTTTGGCTGATACAAGTCCATTACGAGAGAAAGAAGTTTCTTGTTTCAAGTTTGGAACATCTGCTATAATTGGTGTCTCCGATTGAAATATATGTCCATCATGACTCAAAACTTTGTTAGGTGGTTCAGATGGAGAATTATGAGCATAAGCAGCTGAAGCATTTGGTGTAACGGGATTAGAGTATTAGGTTCAGAACTTTTGGGTTTTGCTCTTGACTGGAGTTGCACAGAATTGGAGGAATCTTCATTTGCAGTCGCTTCACGGAGAAAACTACCCAAAGCGTCACTATCCACGGCACAAGCACGTGACACGTTCATATCACTTATCAACAAGCACTACATTGCATCCCCAGTGCTGAAAAAATGTCTAATCTATTTTAGAAGACAAACCAACTAAGCCAATACATACTTTTCCATCTGCTGCAAATACTCAAAACAATGCTTCCTCAGTGGATCAATATCTCCGCCACTTCTAAGAAATGCTAAAGTATTATCCACGATATTTGATGGAGTATCATTGCACCCATAGCAAAGGCCAGACCTAAAAACAGCCTTTGTAGCAATTTCTTCACTGTAACCACTAGCAATTATTTTCTTGATTGCACTCTTGAAAATTGTGTCCAAATCGTTCAAAACAAGTTCTTCTAGCTGGGATTCTGTAAGCTGACTCCAATCAGCATATTTGAACTCGTTTGATGATGCTTCTGTCTCCTCCTGAGGTTGACTTGGTCCCATCTCGAATGTTTCCACCATACATGCCAATCCCAGATTGAATTTCAAAGCATCAGGTTTATTATTGTGGCTCTTGCAACACTTGTCACAACTGTTTTCATTCAGTGACTTGGGGGAATCTCCAACTTTTCAGCTGAGAATTCGAAACTTGTGCACTCATTTGGAGGTGAAGGGAAGATCTTATAAGGGTCAGCTAAAAGCGGATCGGCTAGGAATTTTCTCTTGTTCCTCCTTCCTTTTTCTTCAACTGTCATAACCCGCATTTGACTGGAACTCTTACTACAATCCTTCGCTGCCTTCAACGCCATTTTTCATCTGCATTTTAGAAGATTTCCAGCACTTTACATATTCACAAGTTCGGTGCTCAAAAGCCAATTCTTCAACTAATCACAAATGTCGAGTGCATATTTGTTAGGCAATACTCGACCCAAGCAAACACTGTCATGAAAAGGATTTTAACTCCATTTCCTTCCTTAAACATTCCACAAATGAAGAGCAATAACAATTGTACCATTGCCATTTCATACTAAGCCAGCTCAATCAATCTTAATTAGTTAACTACAAATCCAAATCAAGAACACAAACAAAAGCAAATAGTCATAACAAGTAACACACATCAACGAAAATGATCCAAATTATGCTGCATTAAAAACCAAAGATTAATGATCAAAATAAACAAAAGCCCAGAAACAAATATTTATCCAAAAATGCAAAGTTGCACTATTTTACTAAAAATTTCCAATTAAATCCAATCCTCAGATCGATATAACCAAAATTAGAAAATGCCCGCATGGAAAATTCATAAAAGATTCAATCTTTAATCATTTTTTGGAGATCCTACAAAATAATGGGATCATTTTCAGATTACTAATAAATCCAACAATAATAACATGATACCAGATTCGACGGTACGATGTATTGCAGCATCAGAGGTGTGTAACGAGGTTATGGATAGTTGTGTCTGTTTCTTTCTTGTTTTTCCATTTTGTTAGGCTTTGCATCTCTCTCTTCCAGCCCTTCTTTAGAGTTTGGGAGTGATTTTGAGAATTGATTTTTTGATCGAAAGTGGGGTCCACAGAGAAGAAGTGAAATATGACGTCTGAAATAGTGAAATAACGATCAAAAAATCAATTTTTTGGGTGAAAAAATCGGGCCCAAACAGCCCTTAATATGTTCTCTATTTTTTGGGGAAGAATTGAAACTTTTATTTTATTTTTTTGTTTGGTTTATACATTACATTATGTGCACGTGTTATAACTACATTATATGCGTGCTCTAGACCAGCACAGCACGCTGCATAGCACCCACCCTTGTATCAATAATGCTACTTGTACCAAGTTAGATGACAAAAGTGGTTGACAAAATGACGTGTATGGCTGAGAATAAAAACCAATGGACGGTAGGGATTTGGTCTACAATGTTTAACCCACTTACTAACCATTTTATAAAATTTTGACTTCTGACACAGGCACACAAGTAAGGCAGAGGAATTGAGGGCGGCAAAAAAGAGCGGGATTGCAACGAAGCCGGCATTGAACACGATTGCCCATCTTCTCCATCTCTGAAATTGGGTCATTACACACGACGGTACGTTCATGTGGTTGGAGTTTTGAGCTGAAATTTTCCAAAATCTATTTCATTTATTACGTGATTGTTCCCAAACTTGGCTGGTTGCTTGTGTCGTCGACGAAGTCGGCATTGAACGCTATTGCCCATCTTCCCCATCTCCGAAACCGGGTCATGACACAGGAAGGTACGAATTTGTGAATGGAATTTTATTGTTTAAATGAGCTGAAAATTTTGCAATTTTTTTCCAGCGATACATGCTCGTTCCCAAACTTGGCTGGTGGTATTGCCCATTTAGTTCATTACCACTACCAGGTGAGAAGGGTTCTAAATTTATTTGTCTTACCTTAGTAGAAAGTCACGTTCTAGGTATTGTTTGTTTGAATTTCATTTGACATCAGTGTTCTTAGTAGTTTATATATCATGAATATATTTATATTTTGCTGTTTGTTAATGTATTTATAATTATAATTAACATAATTTGCATAATGTACCTTATCCAAAAAAAATAAAATAATCTGAATAATGTAGAGAGTTAAGCTTTATTTTTATTATATAAATTTATTGTGGAACTACTTTTCCTACGCTAAACAAAAAAAAAACATAATTTTTGGGTGATGGTTTATATTTTGTAGGATCTGCCAAATATGGAAGATGTTGTGTTCATGGATTCTGAAAATGAGAATGTCTGCGACAATGTCAATAGTGTGGAAGATGAAAATGTAGAAGGAGATGGTTTGATCGTGCCTGAGGTTGGTATGCAGTTCAAGGATGAAAAAGAACTGTATGCATTTTATGCAAGATATGCTTATACCGTAGGTTTTCCAGTTAGAAAAAGGAGTTCGTCGAAGGATGATGATGGTGTTTTGAGATATGTCACATTCACATGTAGTCGGGAGGGACGAAGAAGTGGTAATACAAGCATTTCTTTGAAGCCACACCCAACAATTCAAACGGGTTGTAAAGCTCGAATATCTGCATCTTTAGATATTCACGGATACTGGAAAATTAACATGGTTCACCTTGACCACAATCATAAGACAAGTCCTACTAAGTCAAGATTGTATCGATGTAATCGAGAATTGAGTGTACACGTGAAACGGAAGCTCGAAGTGAATGATATAGCAGGAATACCACTACATAAAAGTTTTAACTCTGTAGTCGTTGAGTCTGGTGGCTATGAGAATATGGCTTGCGTAGAGAAGGATTGTCGGAACTATATCGAACAAGTGAGACGGCTAAGACTTGGTGAGGGTGACGCACTTGCAATACAGTCTTACTTTTCTGAAATGCAATCACGGTGCTCGGGATTTTATTTCAGTATTGACTTGGATAATGATTTACGCCTAAAGAATGTTTTCTGGGCAGACAATTGATGCAGACAAGCATATAAGGAGTTCGGGGACGTTGTCACATTTGATACAACCTACCTTACTAATAAGTATGACATGCCTTTTGCCCCTTTTGTAGGCGTGAATCATCACGGGCAATCAACTTTGCTAGGTTGTGGTTTGATATCGAATGAGAATACAGATACATTCGTGTGGTTGTTCAGAACGTGGCTTAAGTGCATGTATGGTCAAGCTCCACATGGAATACTTACCGATCAAGATAGAGACATGCAAAATGCAATTGAAATAGTTTTCCCGAATACGAAGCATAGATGGTGTTTGTGGCACATTTTAAAAAAGTTGCCAGAAAAGTTTGGATACCACGTGGATAAGGCTTCGATATTTTCGGCTATACATGTATTAGTTTATGATTCACAGTTTATCGAAGAATTTGAGGAAGGTTGGAGAGAGATGATTGATACATATGACTTACGTAATAATGTTTGGTTGTCTGGATTGTACGAAAATAGAGGTCGTTGGGTGCCATGTTTCTTGAAAACAACTTTCTGGGCTGGTATGTCAACAACACAAAGAAGTGAAAGTATGAGCGCTTTCTTCGATGGTTATGTGCATTCAAAGACATCGTTGAAACAGTTTGTTGAGTAATACGAACGAGCACTGCGAAATAAGGTGGAGAAGGAATTTCAGGCAGATTTTAAGTCTTTCTCTGAAATGCTACCCTGTGCAACAGGGTACGAAATGGAGAAGCAATATTAGGCATTATACACCATTTCCAAGTTCAAGGAAGTTCAAGTTGAGTTTGCGGGGAAAGTTTACTGCGATCTCCTGTCTACTTTATTTCATTTCATGTTTTACATTACATAATATTCGTTGCAATGTACATGTAGGTACGATCAAATCAAACAAATGGAAAGAG